GAACTGAATAGATTGAACATCCCTCTGAATTTCACTCGTCTCTTACATGAAGCCTTGTTTGCCAGCAACGCATTTACCTTCTACAACGAAGTGTCTCCGTATAATGCGCTGTATGGCAGACAACCAGCTATGCTTCCCGATTTCCCTGTCCTGGATCATGATCAGTCCGCTGAATCATCAGATCACTCAAAGGAAGAGACAATCAGGAGGGTTAGTCTGGAGGCAATCACGCAGGCCACTGCGGTTGCCAAGACGAACAGGGCTCTTCGTACGAAGACTACTGCTACGGGTGAATTTCACTACAAAGAGGGAGATCTCGTGGACTATCATCGCCCGACCACCACGAAAGACGACTGGGGTGGATGGAGTGGTCCATACCCGGTCATCCGCAACGAACCTGACCGAGGCCAGGTCATCGTGAAGGTCGGCAATCGCGAAGTGCGAGTACAGTATCCTGACTCACGACATACGCTGTACATCGAAGCACTGATGGTCCGCGAGATAGGATCGGACAATACGGCCCTTCGGACAGTATTGGCCTTTATTGCCGGTCTGCCAGCGGGGAAACCCGCTATGACTTTCGGATACCTACCAGCGAAACAGGGCCGACTGCAGATGACTGCTGCGAGCCGGCTTTCGCCTAAGGTGCACTTGGCTCTTCAATATCTCATTCGCAACTATTTTCGCATTGAAAACGTGGTTGCTGTACGACTTGCTAAGAGCCTGACTAAGTTGCCTGCTGCACCATATGCAGACAGCTGTACACTAGTGCACTATGATAACGATGTGACCCCTGGCTTTCATTATTATGAAGCTGATGGCACTGCCTTGAACATCTACGACATCACAGGGTCTACACATTCACGCATCATCCAGTGTCTTAAATCCAAGAAGCCGCTTGCTGGATTCGACCGAGACCTCACTAAGTTTGAGGAACTCGCTGATGGTTCACCACCAAGCGAGCCACCTCCAGCAGCTGCTCCTGAGCAGCCTCCTGCGGCGAATGATGGTCGGCTCCCGACCATCATAGAGGAAACAGAAGAGGATCTGGATGTCTTTGTCTTGGAGTCATGGTATGCTGAACTGATGGATGACAGAACACTCCTTGAAGCTGACACAGAAGAAGTCATGCACACAGTTCCGACATACATGACAGACTCACAGTGCGTGTTGGTCTCTACGACCTGTGAAGATGTGCAAGGCCACTTGCCGGTGCGGGGTCACCCGCCAGGATACGACATGGACACCTCTTACTACGTCCCTCTGTGCTCCACTGATCCGGACAGCCACTATGATCTGGACTCCGACGAGCACGGGAAGTACATCGAGCTTTGCTTCGCAGCAGACATTTCCAAAGTCGTCCTGTCCGAGCAGCAACACCGATTGTTGGATGACAGCAGCGTCACAACTATGCGAGTATATGTTAGTGCTGCCTCCAAACGTGCTGTGGTCGTCAAAGAAGACGACCTACTCGCGAAGGCCGACATTCAAGCGAATCCGGTCAAAGTTTCCAAAGCCCTTTGCACAGAATTGAAGACTTGGCTTGACAACAAATGCTTCCAGATGACTGACTTGAGCAAAGCGTCGAACATCATGACTTCACGCTATGTATACAAATGGAAGTTTGTCAAGAACGAGAAGGGCGAAATGGAACGGACGATCAGGTTACGCTTGGTACTTCGTGGCTTCATGGACATTGAAGCCTTCGATGTCGAAACCTTCTCTGGCACGGCAAGGAGGTCAAACCAGAGATTGCTCGCAAGTTCTGCTGCATGCAACAAAGCTTGGATCATCGCTTCCCTGGACATCAACATGGCTTTCTTGAAGGGACTGACCTATGGCGAGCTCGCCGCGGCAACTGGCGAGAAAGAGCGTGTGGTGTGCTTCGCACTACCTCCTGGGTCAGCAGCTGTCCTTCGCACATTGCCAGGCTTTGAGTCATATGACGAATCAAAGCATTGTCTTCGGTGCCTCAAGCCGGGGGCTGGCACGAAGGATGCTCCCAGGGCATTCTCGCTGAAGCTCAGGTCCATCACCAGGAGCTTTGGACTACAGCCTACTTCATACGATGAAGAGTTCGAGATGAGTTCAAACCTCTTGACAGCCAAACACGTTGATGACATCAATATGACTGGGAAGGAAGATTCCATTGACAAGTACGTCACATGTGTTGAAGATACGTTTGGAAAATGCAAACTGAACAAGCACACATACACAAATTGTGCCGTTCGGTATAACAAGACCGATGATGGGAGCGTCACTCTTGATCAGGACGAATACATCAAACAACTTCGTCCTATCACACATCCAGAGCTCACAGGCGCTGATCCTGAGAGCAAAGCGACAAAGACGATTTCTGATATGTTCGTCAGTCTTCGTGGCGCTCTAGCCTATGCGTTGATCACGCAGGTATGGCTGATGGTCTATGTTGTTTCACTGCAACGTATCCAGGAACCGACAAACATCCAGGTACGACGACTGAACGCGGTTACCAGGAAAT